CTCGATCCCAGGACTCCAGGATCATGACCTGAGCCGAAGGCAGTTGCTTAACCAACTGAGCCACCCAGGCGCCCTCCAGAACTTTTTTCATCTTGCAAAACTGAAACTCTGTACCCATTAAACAATAACTCCCTATTCCCCTTCTCCCCAGCCCCTGGCCACCACCATTCTACTTTTTGTCCATATGAATTTGACTACTCTAGGTGCCTCCTATAAGTGAAATCATCCAGTGTTTGTTTGCCTTTTTGTGATTGGCTTATTTCACTTAACCTAATCCTCAAGGTTCATCCATATAGTAGTATGCATCAGAATTTTCCTCCTTTTAAAGACTATATAATATTCCATTGTGTATGTGTATATATACCACATTTTGTTTATCCATTCATCCTTTAGTAGATACTTGGGTGGATTCTACCTTTAGGTTATTGTGAGTAATGCAGCTTATGGACATGGGTATACAGATACTTAGTTCAGTCTCTGCTTTCAGTTCTTTTGGGTATATACCCAGAAATGGGACTGCTAGATCATTTATGGTAATTCCATTTTGTATTTTTGGGGGAATCGCCATACTGTTTCCATAGCAGCTGTGTATTTTACATTCGCATCAGAAGTGAACAAGGGTTCTAAATACTCTACATCCTTGCCAACACGTGCTGTTTTCTTAATGGATGTAAAGTGGTTATCTCATTGTGGTTTTGATTTATACTTCTCTAATGATTAGTGATATTGGGCATTTTTTCATGTGCTTATTGGCCATATATGTATCTTCTTTGGAGAAATGTATATTCAAGTCCTTTCCTCATTTTTTAATCTGGTTTGTTGGTTTTGTTGTTGTGAGTTGTAGGCATTCTTTATATATTCTAGATATTAACCGCATATCAGATACAAGATTTGTAATATTTTCTTCCATTCTGTGTGGGTTGTCTTTTCACCATGTTGATAATGTCTTTTGATGCATGAAAGTTTTACATTTTGATGTAGTCCAGTTTATTTAATAATTTTATTGCCTTGCCTATGCTTTTGGTGTCATATCTAAGAATATTATAAAACCCAGTGAAGCTTTTCCTGGTATGTTTTCTGCCAAGAGTTTTATAGTTTTAGGTCTTACATTTAGGTGTTTGATCCATTTTTTAGTTAATTTTTGCATATGGTATAAGGTAAGAATTTGCCTCATTCCTTGTACGTGGATATTCAGTTTCCCTGGCACCATTTGTTGCAACAACTGTTCTTTCCCCCACTGAATGGTCTTGGCTATTTTGTCAACCATCATTTGACTGTGTATGTGAGGACTCATTTCTGGCCTCTCTAATATGTTCGTTCTGTTTGTCTGTGTCTCCATCTTTATGCCAGTACCATACTATTTTGATAACTGTAACTTTGTAGGAAGTTTTGAAATCGGGAAACTTGGCACCTTCTAACTTTACTTTTCAAGATTATTTTCGCTATTCAGGGTCTGATACTTTGTTTTGTGTGTATGTAAAAGGGGCCAGGTTTTTCCCCAAATTGCTGCAAGTTCTTTTATTTTACTAATACCTGAGAGGCAGATTAGTGGTTTGTTTTACCTAAAGTAAGAGACCTGGGATTAGAATCTATGCCTCTTGATTTACAATTTAGGTTTTTCCCCTACTGCTTTGCTACATAGGGTAGAATTTATTTTTCTTAAATCATAGGGTTTAAGGAAAGTTCTTTTACAAACATACATGCAGTCTCTCTTCATGAATGTATTTTTAATCCTGGCATCTATGTCTTTGATCTCTCTTTTTTTTTTTTTTAAAGATTTTATTTATTTGACAGAGAAAGACACAGCGAGAGAGGGAACACAGCAGGGAGAGTGGGAGAGGGAGAAGCAGTCTTCCCGCTAAGCAGGGAGCCCGATGTAGGGCTCGATCCCAGGACCCTGGGATCATGACCTGAGCCGAAGGCAGACGCTTAACAACTGAGCCACCCAGGCGCCCCTGTCTTTGATCTCTTATTGGTCATTATCTCCTACTAGTAAACAGTTGTTGAATAAATCTAAGTACCTACTAATTTTACCTGAGAAAACACTGATTCTTATACGGATATCCTGATGAGCACAGTTGGACCCACCTTGTTGTTTGAATTGATAGTAAAACAGTAGTATAGTGATAGCACGGTTATGATCATAAATATCAGCCTGGCTTTCTCTCCCCAGTTTGAGTATTAATAGAAGTCAGGAAATGATATTTGATTATATGCTATGTAGAATGGAAAGCAGCATTCTACTAGAGCTCATTCATTTTTGCTTCCCTCTTGAGTATCAGATTTGTTGCTCTGTTACAGGGTTATTTGATGACTTTAAGGCCAGCATCACTCCCTATGTTAAATTTTTCCCACTTTTTTTTTTTTTTAAGATTTTATTTATTTATTTGACAGAGAGAGACACAGCGAGAGAGGGAACACAAGCAGGGGGAGTGGGAGAGGGAGAAGCAGGCTTCCCACCGAGCAGGGAGCCCGATGCGGGGCTCGATCCCAGGACCCTGGGATCAGGGCCTGAGCCGAAGGCAGACACTTAACGACTGAGCCACCCAGGTGCCCCTAAATTTTTCCCACTTCTATCTGTAATACAATGCTTCTGCCTTTATTCAGACACTCTGCTTTATCTTTCTATAGCAGTCTTGTTAGTGTACTTCTATCAGTATCACTAATCCTAAAACTGTAAGTGAAGCAGATTATATTACAATTTTCATGACACTAGAGCTAGTGTGTAGACTAAATCTGTCTTTAAGTAGAATTTTGGCAGATTAAAAGGAAACTACGTTTAAATTGTCTTATTTAAAAAACCTTTTAAAATGGAAAAAAAGATAGAAGGAAAGTACTTAGGTCAAAATTAGCTCTAATCAAACCCTTTTCATTGACAAAAAGGTTTAGGGTGTGATACATAAAAATCTTGGTAACTAGGAACCAATAATAAAACAATCGGTGCTATCTTATTTAAACCCAGTAGTCCTCAGAATTGTTCAGTGATTACCATTTTGTTTCTCAGATATCCCAATGTCTGTTGGTATAATCGATCCTAGAGCTAATCCAACCCAACTGAATACAGTGGAGTTCCTGTGGGACCCGGCAAAGAGGACATCTGTGTTTATTCAGGTAGAGCATTGCAGATGGGGTTCCAGTTATGAAGAGCATCTCTTACTACCAATTTGTTTCTTTTTCTTTTTTTTTTTTTTAAAGATTTATTTATTTATTTAGGGGGGAGAGAGAGTGTGTGGGCACGAGCAGAGGGAGGGGCAGAGGGAGAGGGAGAGAGAGAATCCAAGCTGACTCCCCACTGAGCACAGAGCCTGATGCAGGGCTTGATCCCAGGACCTGAGATCATGGCTGGAGCCAAAATCAAGAGTTGGATGCATAACCTGCTGAGCCACCCAGACTCCCCTACCAGTTTGTTTCTTGAAGGATAAAACATGTTAAATTTGAAATTTTTACAGTGTTCCAGCCTGACTGTCAAGTCCAGAGTCCTCAACACTTGCCTGAGGGCAATGAGGAGTGTCTGAATTGCCCTTCTAATTTCCCCAATTTATTTATTTGTATGACAAAACAAAATAAAAAACAAGCGAACAAACAAACCAAAAAACGCTTGCTGATGGCTGTATAATATTCCATTCTTTGGATGCACTATAACTTCCCTATTTAGCATTTAGATTCTTCTAAATTTTCCCTATTATCTGTAAAGTTATTTTGAACATCTTTATGCTTAAAATTTGTTTTACATATCTAATTACGTCTGTTGGGTAGATTCCTTTAAAATTCTTATTTGTAATATTAAAATTCTTATTTGTAATAAAGAAAGCTGTGGTTTGTTATGTCCCATTATATAGTCACTATGTTAAGTAAACAGTTCATATATATGATTTTATTTAAAACTTTCAGCAATAATCCTATGGAGTAGAAATAGTTTTTGAGGCTTAGAGAAATTAACAAGGTGCCTAAACTAATATTTGGTCAGTCGAGGTTTCACTGTAAGACTCACCAGGGTCTTCATTTTATGCAGTACAAGCCTTCGCAAACCTTTCTTTCCCCACCATTGCCTGTGAGTCTTCGTATTTGCTAGTTTTGCTGCTTTCTAAACTCTACCTTAGAGTCCAGGAAACTTTTACTAACCTGAAATCATTTCTCTTTTATATTAACTCTGTATTCTCTAAAACAGTTAATGAATTTAGTTCCTCCCAGTAGCTTTTGTTAGCATTGGATCTGTATATTTATTTTGTTTCATTTCAAGATTTTATTTATTTATTTGACACAGAGAGAGAGAGAGCAAGCCAGAGAGCACAAGCAGGGGGGGAATGGCAGAGGGAGAGGGAGAAGCAGGCTCCCCGCCGAGCAGAGAGCCCTACGTGGGGCTCAGTCCCAGACCCATGGGATCATGACCTGAGCCCAAGACAGACACTTAACTGACTGAGTCACCCAGGTGCCCCTACTTTGTTTCATTTGTAATAATTAAGCTTCCTTATTTCCTCCACTAGAATATCCATTCTTTAAGATCTAAAAGAGAGTAAAAGTTTTTTTTTTGTTTTGTTTTGTTTTTAGGATTTTATTTATTTAGAACCAGCAAGAGAGCACTTGAACATAAGCACCGGGAGGGGCAGAGGGAGAGGGAGAGGGGGAGAGAGAATCTCAGGGAGTCTCTGCACCGAGCGCAGAGCACGACATAGGGCTCGATTTCACTATCCTGAGATCATGACCTGAGCCAAAATCAAGAGTCAGATGCTTAACTGAGGCAACCCTAAAAGTCTTTTTTTTTTTTTTTTTAAATTTCATTTATTTATTCATGAGAGAGGCAGAGGGAGAAGCAGGCTCCCTGCAGAGCAGGGAGCCTGACGCAGGACTCAATACCAGGGCCCCAGGATCACAACCCAAGCCGAAGGCAGGTGCTCAACTGACTGAGCCACCCAGGAGCTCCTAAAAGTTTCTTTTTTTTTTAAAGATTTTATTTACATAGATGTTTTTAAGTAAACTCTATGCCCAACGTGGGGCTCGAATTTATGACCCCGAGATCAAGAGTCATATGCTCTACCGACTGAGCCAGCCAGGTGCCCCTAGCATAAAAGTTTTTTTAATAGGTGTTCATAGTGTTTTTAAAGGTTTTGCTGTTAGTAGTTGCGCAGAAAATATTGTTGACTGATGTGGCTAGTTAACAGTACTGAAACCTGGATGTTGTATTCTTTGTAGGTACACTGCATTAGCACAGAGTTCACTATGAGGAAGCATGGAGGAGAAAAGGGAGTGCCGTTCCGAGTACAAATTGATACCTTCAAGGAAAATGAAAATGGGGAATATACTGAGCACTTACACTCAGCCAGCTGCCAGATCAAAGTCTTCAAGGTATTCCTGGGCCTCCTGTTGCCCCTTGTATCCTTTTCCCTCATCTTTCAATTTCAACATTAGCTACCAAGTCAGAAAGTCACATTGTCTTCTTTCAACAACCATGAAAACTCAGTCTACGCCAGAGTCCTTGAGATGATCCCTGAGATGCCTGGTAATGAATTTGTATGGGGATGGGCATGGGAGAAGAGGAACTTGGAAAGGGAGCTAGAGGCTAAAAACATGGATTTTCACTGAAAGCTCTTAATGTCAGTCGAAATTACAAGCTCTTGTAAAAGCTCACAAAATTATGAAATGTTGATAGTTTTGGTTACATTGGTACTTGACTTTCTTTTGTTAATTTGCTTTTTATTTGTTCTTATCATATGCATATAAATGTATTCTCATTGCAAAAGATTCATTAATACAGAAGTATTCAGACCGAAGTCCCCCTTTACCACTTTGACCCCGACTTCCCAGCCTTTCCTAGAGGTTGCCACTGTCATAATTTAGCATGTATCCTTCTAGTCCCTTTCTGTGCTTTTATATACACATGTACATAAGTATACACATATTTTCTTTTCTTTGAAACATCAATAGGATTGTACTGTATAAATTATTATGAGGCTTGCTTTTTTTCAATTAGCTATGTGCTTTAGAGGTCTTTCCATGTCTGTCGCTATAGATCTCTTATTCTTTTTTAACTCCATCACACAGTTAAATTTTCTATTTTCAGACTTAGATGCAAGGATGCATCTTGTCTTTGTATCATTGTACATACATCCTTGTTTCGCATGGGACTGTTTAAGGTAATATTGTTGGATCAAAAGTCAGTTGATGAGTTAAAACAAAACATTTTTTTCCAGCCCAAAGGTGCAGACAGAAAGCAAAAAACAGATCGGGAGAAAATGGAGAAACGAACACCTCACGAAAAGGAGAAATACCAGCCTTCCTATGAGACAACTATACTCACAGAGGTGAAAGGATTTCTTTTGGTGATGATTTCAATCAATACTTCCTATTTTTAAAAGAAAATCCCATCATTTTGCACTATATACATATATCAAATCGTTATATTGTGCACCTGAAACTAATACAATGTTGTATGTCAATTATATCTCAGTTAAAAAAAACAAACCCATAAGTTCTAGCCTGGTCAAGATTTACTTGTCCTGGGTATATTTTCTCTTAATTATAGGGACCTCTGTGCAGTTAAGATTTACTAATCAAGATGTGCTATTCAAGTAACAATGTTTTGGTGGGACACTAGGGTCAAATGTACTTTTTCAGTATTTAAGTTGTTCTTTGTTTTTAGTGTTCTCCATGGCCTGAGATCACATATGTCAATAATTCCCCATCACCTGGCTTCAACAGTTCTCATAGCAGTTTTTCTCTTGGGGAAGGGTAAGTGTGGGAAATGAAATTAGGTTGTGTTTGTCCTAAATATGTCTTCTTTCATTATCTTCCCATGTAGAAGCTCTTTCTAAATCAATAAATCCATTGATGGATCTCTGGATTAATTGAGTTTTGGATTATCTTCAGAAGTGACTGAAAAGAGTTTTATGTAGTCCTTTCTCCTCCTCTTTTTCTTCCTATTCAAAAACAGCATTTAAAGAAAAAAAAACAGCATTTATAGTCAGTTTTTAGTGATTCAGAGGCTGATTTTCTGGGCTTTTCACTTCTCCCTGTCACTGCTTATCTTGTGGTCATTTCACTTCCTGTGCATACTTTCACCAGAGTGGTTCTCAGGAACTGAAACACAGTTGTACAAACACGAAAATCTGTTTTGTTACTTTTTTTTAAATAATTTTATTTTTTTAAAGGTTTTATTTGTTTGTTTGACAGATACAAAGAGAGCACAGGTAGGCAGAGAGGCAGGCAGAGGGAGAGGGAGAAGCAAGCTCCCCAATAAGCAGAGAGCCCAACGCAGGGCTCCATCCCAGGACTCCGGGACCATGACCTGAGTCAAAGGCAGACGCTTAACCGACTGAGCCACCCAGGCGCCCCTGTTTTGTTACTTTTTAAGAATGATCCTAGGGCGCCTGGGTGGCTCAGTCGGTTAAGCAACTGCCTTCAGCTCAAGTCATGATCCTGGAGTCCTAGGATCGAGTGCCGCATCGGGCTCCCTGCTCAGTGGTCAGTCTGCTTCTCCCTCTGACCCTCCCCCCTCTCATGTCCTCTCTCTCTCTCTGTCTCATTCTCTCTCTCAAATAAATAAATAAAATCTTAAAAAAAAAAAAGAATGATCCTAATACCTAATAATTATGGATCTTTGATAATTGGGGAAGAAGGTTGAAGATGAGAGCTAAAATGAAGTTTTAGAATTATCTATGGGATACATTTATTCTTTATTGTCTTTTATCATCAAAGATAATTGCAAGTTGGTACAGTTGCCTATTCCAGTTAAAATAAGTTGTCTTTAGTCTTAGCATTTAACACATATTCCACGTAGGTCATATTGAAATTTAAAATAGGCTACTGAATGTGTGATTTTTTTGTTTTGTTTTGGTTGTAATGTTTGTTTTTGAATTTATGTAGGCTCTATGTTCAGTCTGCTTCTAAAAGTAATTAAGGTAGCTTCACTATTCAGAATATATATAACAGTTAAGAACGAAAATAGGTAAGGGGCGCCTGGGTGGCTCAGTCGTTAAGCGTCTGCCTTCGGCTCAGGTCATGATCCCAGGGTCCTGGGGTCGAGCCCCGCATCGGGCTCCCTGCTCGGCGGGAAGCCTGCTTCTCCCTCTCCCACTCCCCCTGCTTGTGTTCCCTCTCTCGCTGTGTCTCTCTCTGTCAAATAAATAAATAAAATCTTTTAAAAAAAATGAATGAAAATAGGTAGAAGTTATAGAGGGAATAGGTAATAAGGGCCTGGTGATAAGTTAATTACTAAATATGAATACTGAATTTGAATTTTGCAGCTGAGGCAAAAAAAGAAAAAGATCTATTTTGAAAGAAAAATCTCTTACCATCCATATGGATTATGCAGTCTACTTATAGGCAATTTTATTTTTTATGTTTGTTAAAGTTTATTTCTTTTTAGTAATCTCTACATCCAACTTGGGACTTGAACTCACAACCCTGAGATCAAGAGTCACATGCTCTTCTGACTGAGCCAGCCGGCACCCCTAGGCAATTATAAATATATAGAATTTAAGAGTTGTGTTTTAAAGTTTTTTCTCTTCTCTTTGTCATTACTTTTTTTTTTTTTTAAAGATTTTATTTATTTATTTGAGAGAGAATGAGAGATAGAGAGCACGAGAGGGAAGAGGGTCAGAGGGAGAAGCAGACTCCCCACTGAGCAGGGAGCCCGATGTGGGACTTGATCCTCGATCCGGGGACTCCAGGATCATGAATTGAGCCGAAGGCAGTCGCTTAACCAACTGAGCCACCCAGGCGCCCCAGGGACAATCCTTAAAACAAAAGGAAATACAGGAAAAAACAGAGGGTGGAGAGATAGCCCGTGGATCGCAAATTAGGCAGCACTAATTTTCGAAGCCGCTTTAAAAATAATTTGGTTTTCATTATAAAAGTATGTGATTACATTGCATTGCATAAAGTTTCTTCTGGTATTTTTTCCTGTATATGTTTGTGTGTATATTTATATATTTAATACAATAGTAATATATTGATTACTTTTATGTTCTGATATTTTTTTCTATTATAAATTTCTTATGTTAAATATTCTTCATGCCATAATTTATCCAATTAAACGCAATTTACTGGAATTTTGATATTTTTTCAATTTGTCCAATAATAAAAAAGGTTGAAAGTGACAGTTTCTTCCCCTCTCCCCATACTCTTAAATTAACAGATAATAGAAGAATTGACTATCAGACTAAGACTGCTTTAGGAGAGAGCACAGATTCCTTTAGATCTCTAGCTTGGGGGGTGCCTGGCTGGCTCCGTCGGTGGAGCCCTCGACTCTTGATCTTGGAGTTGTAGTTTCGGGCCCCACGTTGGGTGTAGAGATTATTTTTAAATAAAATCTTAAAAGAAAAAAAATCTCTAGCTTGAGACTTACTATGAGATGATGAACCCTAGTATGTGTCATGGACTCATCCTTTTCATTTTCAATATTTCCTTAGAAATGGTTCACCAAACCACCAGCCAGAGCCACCCCCTCCAGTCACAGATGTAAGTCTAAAGTTAAATGTAAGTTATTTGCAATGTCTACTAATACTTTGATAACTGTGCAGTTCATTAGAAATGTCCAACCTTTAAGGAATAATACTTATTCATTCATTAAACGGACGTTTATTGAATTTTGACTATGAACTAGACACTAACCTAGGGACCAGGGATGTGAAACAAGTTAATGCAGGACCCCTGCAATTTAAAGAGCTTACAGTTTAGTAAGGAAGATAAGGATGGAATTCCATGGGCTTCTTGCATAGTCAGGGAAAGAAGACTGATGAGGTATAAACAACTTCCAAGCAAACTAGGCCTGAGTGTGGGTGTGTTTAGCTCTATGTTACCTGATGATGTAAGAGATAAATCTCTTCAGTTACCAAAAAAAGAAAAAAAAAAATGCTTACTTTCTCTTTCAGAACCTCTTGCCAACAACCACACCTCAGGAAGCTCAGCAGTGGTTGCATCGAAATCGTTTTTCTACGTTCACAAGGCTTTTTACAAACTTCTCAGGTTAAATTTATTTGTCCTTTTGTTTTTCCCAACACAGGATATTCCTTTACATTCTAGGGCCTCCTAGTATCCATGTGAGAGGGTGTGTGTGTGTGTGTGTGTGTGTGTGTGTGTGTGTGTAAGGGAGGAAGGGAAGGAGAAATCTTCATGCATTTTTAGGATTAAGTGAATTTCATAGAACCCTTCAGACTTTCTCACCAGCGGCATCTGTGCTGTGAAATACTTAAAAAGAAAGACTTCTTAGTTTAAACTCACTTTAATTTAAAAATATTTATTCTATACAATACTTTTTAAAATGTATATTCCATATCATATCAAGGGCATTTGTAGGTAGTCTGAAATTTCCCCCTTGAAATCACTATATTGTATTTGCACATTCCACTTTTATTAAGCACTTTCTGGGTACCAGGTATGGTAGGAATACACAATTGGGTAAGGCCTACTTTCTGTTCATTCATCATCTAGTATAAAAACAAAAACCCAAATCAAATCAAAATAAAACCCTGAAAAAAATAAGGAAATCATTGTGACGCAGTAGATAAGTGGTACGAAGCAGGGTATTGGGGGAGTGTCTGTGGTTAGGGAACACATGTAATGCGTGAGGTAAATCTTGGGGGAGAAGGAGGAGTCTGTTGGTTGGAAAGTAGAAGGCTATTTCAAGGAGGAGGGACAGCGTGCTTATTAGACCTCATCAGTACGATGAAAGCATGGGGTTAAGTGGATCAGTGAATGGGGTGGCAGTTGAGGTGAGAGAGGAAACAGGGGCCAGGTCATGGAGAATTATGTACCATGCAAAAGATGATGACCTATAACATGACAGAGCCATTTCAGTGGTCATTAACAAAGATAGTCTTTGCCTTTATCACCCATTTTCTTATATTTATTCCAGGGGCAGATTTATTGAAACTAACTAGAGATGATGTGATCCAAATCTGTGGCCCTGCCGATGGAATCCGACTTTTTAATGCATTAAAAGGCCGGTATGTAATTAGTGTAAAAATATCAGCAAGGCTGAATTTCAAGTGGATTTGGATTCAGGGACTCTTCACAGTACTCTTTGCACAGCTCACTACATCTTGTCGAAACATTCTTTTTGAATGCCAGCTATGTACCAAATAAACGAAGATGAAAAATATCTTTTCCTACAGTAGATCTAAGGAATTCCTCATGATATCCCATTTTTCATTTCTAGGTAGTTTTTTCATTTGATAAATACTCAGTATCCCTAATATGAGCCAGGTACTATTGTAGGCTCTGGGGATACATTGGTGAGAAAACAGACAAGGGACCCATTATTATGAGTTTACTTTCTAATGGGGGGAGAGATAAAAATATGAACAGTGAATATTTCGATAGTGATAAGTGCTTTGAAGGAACCAAACAAACAAAAACAAGGTTATAACCTGTAGAGTACCCAGAATATGGTCAGGAAAGACCTCTCTGACGCGGTGGTGTTTAAACTGAATTATGAGGGGCGCCTGGATAGCTAAGTTGTTGAGCGTCTGCCTTCGGCTCAGGTCATGATCCCAGGGTCCTGGGATCGAGTCCCATGTCGGGCTCCTTGCTCAGCAGGGAGTCTGCTTCTCCCTCTCCCACTGTCCCTGATTGGGTTCCCTCTCTAGCTATCTCTGTCTCTGTCAAATAAATAAATAAAATCTTTAAAAAAAAAAGATTTTATTTATTTATTTGACAGAGACACAGCGAGAGAGGGAACACAAGCAGGGGGAGTGGGAGAGGGAGAAGCAAGCTTCCTGCAGAGCAAGGAGCCCGATGCGGGGCTCGATCCCAGGACCCTGGGATCATGACCTGAGCTGAAGGCAGACACTTAACAACTGAGCCACCCAGGCACCCCAAATAAATAAAATCTTTAAAAATAAATAAATAAATAAACTGAATTATGAAAAGGATGGAAGCTATGGAGTCATATGAGGGAAGAGCACTCTAGGCAAGAGGAACGACAGGTGCAAGGGCCCTGAGTCCATTTTAACTGGGGAAGAGGTCATTCTTGAATTGGATAGGAACTACTTAAGTGTCCACTTACAAATTATAAAACAGAGTAACTTGTAGTCCCTATTTGGGATTTTCAGTTTCAAATAGGTGATAGGATTAATGGAAAAAACATACAGGTTAATGCCACAGAACCAAATGAGTGACTAAATAATGAAACAGATCGTGAAGTATTTTGTTTGGGTACGTCACAAGAAATGTTGAGTCAGATTGGCTCTAATCTGGGAAATTTTTAAAGAAAAGAAAAATTCAGAGGTTGATGATTTGCAGAAAAAAGAATGGATCTTTTTTTGTTTTTTAAAGATTTTATTTATCTGACAGAGAGAGAGAGAGAGAGAGCAGGAACACAAGCAGGGGGAGTGGGAGAGGGAGAAGCAGGCTCCCCGCTGAGCAGGGAGCCTGATGTGGGGCCCGATCCCAGAACCCTGGGATCATGACCTGAGCCGAAGCAGACACCTAACAACTGAGCCACGCAGGCACCCAGAGGATCTTCATTTTTTTTTTAACATATTATTTATTTAAAGAGCATTTAAGGGGCGCCTAGGTGATACAGTCAGTTAAGAGTCTGAGTCTTGATTTCAGCTCAGGTCATGATCACATGGTTATGAGATTGAGCCCCTCCTTGGGCTCTGCACTGGGTGTGGAGCCTGCCTAAGATTCTCTCTTTCTCCCTCTGCTCCTCCCCCAGCCCCCCTCACAAACACCTCCCAGCGGGGGCTCTCCCCTCTCCCCCCATGCACTCACACACGTGCTCTCTCTCTTAAAAAGTAAAAGAGCGTTTAAAAATAGGAATGAGATGATCAGATCAAGAGGTCATGAGTACCATTGTCTAAGAAGAAGAGACAGAAGGCTTAGGCTGCTTAGTAGGAGAAGGTAATGAGGGAACTAAGATTCTCTGTTTTACAGTGGCGCTTCTAAGGAGAAGGTATATGTGGAGCCGGACCCATGCAGCAGCGGCTCACACGTTTCGAATATTTCTAACGTTTATATCAAAGATGATAAACTCAAAGGCCACGTGTAAATGAGCGACAGTCAAATCTGGGGTGTAGTGAAGAATGCATGGGTCAATGCAAGGAGAACAGCCAATTGTTTTCTTGTAAGAATGAGGGCCCCAGATTGCCAGATCTGATTTTTCGAGAAAAGCCAAAATTGCAGAGGTTTGTATGATGTTGGAACGGATTCAGTCGAACTGCACGCGCGCGAATGCGCACACGCATCCACCCCAGTGGAGAGCTAATGAGGCAGCAAATGAGCTTCCTTGGCCCGCGGGCTGCCAGTTTGCAACTCCGCCCTCTAGTGCTAACCCAGACACACAGGTTCTCCCTTAAAATGTGCTTCCCGTGAAGACCGTGAGACTAACAGCCTCGCTTTCCTCCTCAGGATGGTGCGGCCCAGGCTAACCATTTATGTTTGTCAGGAGTCCTTGCACTTGAGGGAGCAGCAGCAGCAGCAGCAGAAGCGTGAGGATGGAGACTCAAATGGTACTTTCTTCGGTAGGTCCTTCTGGACAGGCCAGGACACATACTGAGGCGAGGGGAGGAGATGACATAGGAGCCTGTGCGGTGGGAATGCCTCAGACAGCAGAGTGCGCATTTGCCAGAATAAATGGTAATTGCTCACGTTTATTGAGTTCCTCCCGTAGACCGGGCACTACGCTCAGCACGTTTACATGCTTTACTTTTTACAACTGGTGCGTCTTCTTTGCAGTACCTTTATTGTTCTCGCCCACATGTAGGTGAGGAAAATGAGGCTCAGGGACGTTAAGTAACTCACCCCAGTCACACAGCTAGCAGGTGGCCAAGCCAGAATTTGAACTCAGGCAGTCTGTGAGTCCTCTAGAAGAGCGGGCATTCCTAGTGACCGGGTTACCTTTAAGAGCAGAGAAGCCTGTATTGACTCCCTTTGCTCTGTCCCTCTTGCAGTGTACCACGCCATCTATCTAGAAGAACTGACAGCTGTTGAACTGACAGAAAAAATTGCTCAGCTCTTCAGCATTTCCCCTCGCCAGATCAGCCAGATCTACAAGCAGGGGCCAACAGGAATCCATGTGCTCATTAGCGATGAGGTAGATTTTCAGCGCAGCTCAATCACCACATGCCAGTTTGTCAGGGCGTGTGACAGGAGCAAGGGCCGTCCTCCTGGGGTACAGGCTCCGCTTACGAGACCAGGGCTTTTCAAATGCTTTTGCTTACTGACTTTCTAACCACGTATCCCCCTTGCACATTTTTAGGTTGACTTAAAATTTTTTTGTTTTAAGTTTAAATAGTTGCAAATATGTCATTCCTGGGCATATTATATAACCTTTAAAAATGAAATGGTTACATCACTATTCTAACTATATTCCATGTAACCTAAATAGAAGAGCGATGTAATACCACCATCACTGTCTTAAAAAATACATGAATATACTTTTCTTTATCAGAGTTTTTATGTCACTTCTTTGTTTCCTTGAACTCCTGTTTCCATTCACTTCTCCCATAGAATTTTATCTTACCATAACCTGTTTTTATGCTCAAACATCTTTTATTAATTATCTTACCATATTTCTTTGAGACAAATTTGCTTCAACTTAAGAATTTGTTTCAATAAAAATTTAAAAATTATTTCTTCTGAATAGAATGATCACCATAATTATATAATCAATAAACATAAATGTATTCTATGTTTTGATAAATTTTTAAACATTAAGAAAAGTGTATTAGAAGTCTGTCTATTAATGAGCTGGATGGAATTGTCTGATTCCCTACCCGCCCTGCCCACATTAATTCATGTATAGATGAATACTCTTTACTGATTTTTAGAATGAAATAGAGTTCAGCACCACTTCCGTTCTGTTTTATCCCCCTAGATTAATAGTGCTATGGAGTCTGATTAATTGACAGACAGGAATGGATGGAGTTTTTTCTAAAAACATCACTGGATTTTTTTTTTTTTTTTGAACTTTGGAGTTAGGTGCCAAGAGTTATATAGTGATGTCACAAAGAATTATTTTGAATCACCTATCATTTGACAGTTTGTGATTAGGTCAGTCTTCAGTTCTGGTGCAAGGAAAGAATTAGAAATCATGTGGCTCACAAAATACTTTGTTACCCAGTCATTAAAGTTCACATTAACGGTCAAACTTTGGCATCCTGGAGGTTTTTGTACCCTGGGGCGGGGCATCTTGATAGGATTCCAGGAGGGTGAAACTTATGCCTTTATTTTATAAAATGAGAGAAGGGAGTTCAGAAGGGAAAGTGGGTAGGGAAAATCGAAGAGGTGCTCAGGCAGTTTTGGGAGATGAAGACCTGGAAGTCAGGTCTCCCAAATGGGCCTACCAGTGTTCATGTACCCTTGCAACATCTTGGGGTTAATCAGGAAAATGCATCCTATAATTTTAAGATCAGTTGTTTTAGATTGCTTAGCTTTTATTTTATTTTATTTATTATTTATTTATTATTTTTTAAGTAGGCTCCAATGCCCAACATGGGGCTTAAACTCACAACCCTGAGATTGAGTCACATGCTCTAGCAACTCAGCCAGCCAGGCGCCCCTAGACTGCTTAGCTTTTAAAACTTAAAAACTGAATGCGAGAAAACAAAACAAAGGATTATTTTTCCCTTAAGTCCAGTATAATAAAAAGCCATATAGTCTAAATAAATGCAGCAAACCCAAGTCTTTAATAATTAGCAACTCTTTTTGCTTTTCTCAGATGATACAGAACTTTCAAGAAGAAGCCTGTTTTATTCTGGACACAATGAAAGGTAATAAAATAGTAGGACAGATGCCTCTCTCTCAGGAGTTTAAGAGATTTTTTTTTCATGATTTACTTCTCTGAGGAGAGAGGGAACATATCAACCACCATATTTGAGGCAGAGAAAGTGATATCTTTGGAGATTGTTTCTTTGTATGAATTGGCATCTTGCCATTATCAGAATAGACAAAGTGTAACTGATGACTCTGCCATTCTCTCTCCCACCTTCCCTGGACAAATGAGGAAATGAAGGCATGTTGTTTTTATAATGCATATTTATTTTAAGTATTTTGTGGTAATAAATATGTTGCGCTTTGTCCTGCTGGGGTTTTTTTTCCCTTCTCAAAAGATCCTTACCATCTTTTGTTTTTTTTTTCTCCTACTGTGTTTTAGAGGTGACTAAAGATTATTCTCTCTCTCTCTCTCTCTCTCTCTCTTTTTTTTTTTTTACAGCAGAAACCAGTGATAGCTATCATATCATACTGAAGTAGGTGCCGGGCATTCCGTCTTCAGTGCCCGCTGCCTCCTTCACCCCTTGGAAGCTTCCCTCTCAAAGGGAGTCGCTCACTAATGGAGATTGGAAGGTCTGCAGGAGGAACCTGACCCATCTGACTGTGTGTGGGGGAGTCCAGGCCACGGAGGCAGAATCCCAGCCATCTGTTGGCCCAAGCTCTTGTGGCACACACAGATTATTGCCCAACATGCATTTCTGCAGCTGTGGTTTCTTAGTTAAAATTTATGGACCCTGTTGTCGTTGAATATCATTAGAAACTCCACACCATTTAGGGTGTTTGTAGGGTATAATGATGATGAGAATTGTGTGATGTTTCAAGGAAAGATGTTAAAGTTTGTGATATGGAGCCATGTAATTTTTTTCTCATATAAAAATGAACATCTGTATTCCTAAGACTAGATCCTCAGTCTCTTTTGCATCATACATACTGGCTTGTGCCACAGTCGGCCCCTGAAAACCTCACCAAAGAGGAGAAATACAGAGAGGTAGAATAGAATTTTTCTTTTGGTCGCCCTGTAATACCAAGACTGATCGTAATTTTAGCTAACATTTACTGAGCATTTACTTGTGCCTCATAGTGTGATAAATTCTTTAAGTGGATTACCTTGTTTAACTCCTCTTTAATAATCCTCTATGAAGTAGGTAATAATGATCCCTAATGAAGGTGAGGACATGGAGACACAGAGTGGCTAAGGAGCTTGCTGGGCGACAGGCAGCTAGAAAGCAGTGTTGCTGAAAGCCAGACCTGGGCAATCTGGCTCATTTTAACCGCCAGCCACGATGCCTCCCCTGCAATACCCTGTGCTTGCTGTCATCTCTGACCGTGGCTCTGCCGGCCGATAGGACGCAACACCACGTGACAACTGAGGAAGCAACCACTGACAGGAACAAACCACACCTAAATAATGACGAACGAATCAAGAGCTACAGAAACCGAGAACATACGTGCTTTTGAAGCATCATCAGTTATCAGATTCACAGACTCTGAAGTGGTGCAAATGAGGGGTCATCTGGAACTCCGCAAATTCACTGTTCTTGAATGAGCTGCTCAAACTATTTATTCATGAGTTTGGCTAGCCCCTGCTTTCTGTTTCCCCTCTCTGCGTCTTTCCTTGGTAGAGGAAGTTCTTTTACTCATGTAGTGTTCTTTTATATAAGCTTTACGAGAAATTCATTCCTATCCCCGTCACACTCTGCCCATTTATTTTAGTTCTTCAAGAGTGTGTCTGTGCGCGTGCGTGCGTGCGTGTGCAAACGTGTAAGACTATGGGTTGTCTTTTTTCACGTGTCGAGTTTTATCCAGAAATCCCTTTGCACATTATGTTGAGGTGAAAAAAGATAATGTTCAAAGATTCTGTAATGGATTTGGATCTGTGCGTGTGTGTTTTTAAAGCATTTATAAAGTTTAAATGTTTTTATACAGAGAATTTTGTTCATTAAAATCAACCCACAACATGGTCTGATTTCTTTTGGTTTGAAACAAATTGAAGACTTTGAAACTGGAGAGTGAAGTCAAGTGACTTTTAAAAACTGACCTGGGTAACGTGACATTATTAGGCCAAAATACTTCTTAAATGAAAGTATTGATTACCAGATGTCCCTGTTTCAGAAGAGCGGCATTTCTGGTTGTATTAAGTTCCTGGGACTGTTCTCAGTTTCAGAGAAGTTAGTTCTCTCTTTAGCAGGCTGCTATTAGTTTTTTGGTTTTGGTTGTTTTTGTTTTTATTTTTTTATTATTCTGTCTGAATATTAGGCTGGGAGGGTTGGACTAGATAAACTTTAAGGTCCCTTCTGAATCTGTGACTCTTTACTGCAAATGATATATAGAAATCTTTTTAATATATTTACCACAAATTACAGTTACTAATTTACTTAGGATTAGAGTTTTTTCAGAGTAGTCTTCAAATTTATTATAGAAAAAAATATATATATAATATTTAGAAATTATAGGGGCACCTGCATGGCTCAGGAAGTTGGGCGTCCCAACTCTTGATTTTGGCTCAGGTCATGATCTCAGGGTCGTGAGATCGAGCCCGGCATCAGCATTGGGCCCCATGCTCGGCAGGGAGTCTGCTTGAGATTCTCTCTCTCTCCTTCTGCCCCTGCCCACCCTTGCTTGTGCACACTCTCTCTCTCTCTCTCAAATAAATAAATCTTTTTTAAAAAGAAATGAATTTATACAAGTTCGCAATCACAGATCCTAAATTAACCAGAAAAATTGTTTAGGCTTTCTTTAGCTCCAAAAAGTATAGTACCAATGCTATACAATTGGTAAGAATTGGTATAGTGATAGAACATGGCAATTATTCAACTTGCTTTTAAGAATCACATCTATTACTATTATCCTTTCAATTAAATGAAAGTTTTAAACTAGATTTTTTATTATCGAAATAATATACAAAATGATAAATTCAAACAATAAAGAGGGGTATAACTTTTTCTTCTTACCTCCTAGTCCCACTCTAAAGAGATAATCATTGCAGAATACCCCCCATCCCTCTCCCTCCCTCCCTCTCTCACACACAGACAAATACTCAGATAGGCTCATGTCACACTAATGGTCTGCAATTTGCTTTTTGTATTTAACATCTTGAACATCTTTCTGTTATTAGAATTTATAGTTCTACATCATTCTTTTTAAAGATGGCCATTCCCTATAGATGTTTAGGTTAAGTGCATTTGAAAGTGCGTCTTCGTAAGTTTTTTGCATGTGCCTCTTAAGATATATTTCTAGAAGTAAGATTTACTGGATTTTATCTTTTTAACAATGTGCCAGTTGATATTTATTTTTTATTTTATTTCTTTTTAAGGATTTTATTTATTTTTTGACAGAGAGACAGCAAGAAAGGCAACACAAGCAGGGGGAGTGGGAGACGGAGAAGCAGGCTTCCCGCCGAGCAGGGAGCCCGATGCGGGGCTCGATCCCAGGACCCTGAGATCATGACCTGAGCTGAAGGCAGATGCTTAATGACTGAGCCACCCAGGTGCCCTGCCAGTTGATATTTAAACTGAGTAGACAGTTAAATGGTTTTATTAGAGTGAGGGTATTTGAGAGGGAGAACGGTTAGATTTAGACCTTCCTGAGAAGTGGAGTAGGCTCCTATTTGAGTATTGTGTGTACTGTTCCCTTGAAGGGGTAGGTTCTATCTAGAAGAATCAGCTATATAAAGACTTAATAGTTAAAAGGGAGTTATTGGGAAATAAAAGGGGGGGATAGGTCATCGCAGGACTCCAGAGATTGAGTAGTAGTCATTACAGAAATATGGCTATTAGATAATAAGATTGTCCAATATTATGGCCTAGTAAGAATGTTTACACACATAAATGATTTATTCAGGAAGCTATTTAAAGGGAGGGGAAATGGAAATGGTCATAGTGCCTGGAAAGAGAGTACAGTACATCAAATACAAGACAACCAGAACCTGAGAGACCGGAGAAAGGTCCACATGAGGGGACAGATACTCTGATTCCTGAACGTCAGGCACAGTCAGGCCCTAGGTATGCTGTGAGGGGTGGAGTGTGATCTCATCACTGGGTTGAAGGAGCATGGGGAAGCTTGGTGAGTGAAGAAGGCTTGGCAAAATGAAACTGGTCCTTTCTAATTTATGCCTAATGGAGGAGTGTTCTGAAAATCTTTGCCCCCAAGTAGTCTCAGCAAGTCTTTTTTTTTTTTTTTTTTTTAAGATTTTATTTGACAGAGCACGCACAAGCAGCGGGAGCAGCAAGCAGAAGGAGAAGCAGGCTCCCCGCTGAGCAAGGAGCCTGATGCGAGGTTCAATCCCAGGATGGGATCATGACCTGAGGCGGAGGCAGACACCCAACTGACTGAGCCACCCAGGCGCCCCTCAGCAAATCTTTTGGACAGGGTTGCTGCAGAGATTTGGACTGTCTTTTAAACGACTGTGAAGGATTGAATGAAGGTTCAGCGTTTGGTTTTGAAAGTAACACAGATTTGGGGTGCAAATATTTGAAGTCAAGACTGAATTTATCCCTCTTCACTGTAGTTTTTTTCTCTAGCCAATACCTAACAATTCCAGATAGCTTGATCGGAGAGCTGAAGTTGAGCCATTTTATCATTTTACTAAATTGTTCTGCTTCTTTGGCTGTGGGTGATTCCTCTGTAGGAATTTGATCTGTTTGTGGCCTCTACTGGTCTGTTATGAGAACTCCAATCTCAACAGGAATGGCACAAATGCCCCACCTAGCTGCATCATTTATGTACCAATTCATACAGAGTATCCTGCATCATTCTTCTGCTTCTCCTAAAAATGATCTATGTTCTCAGTTGTAGGCTACAGCTTTCCCTAAAGCTAGAATATTAGTTTTTCGTTTGTGGTTAAATTTTTGTTTCATTATACAAGCTCTAAGTTTTAAATGAGGAAGCATTTACTACCACTGCAAAATGGAATGGAAAAAAGATGCCCTATGTGACATCAGCATCTGTTTTTTTTTTCTGACTTGTTAATATTGTATTTCTCCTTGCTCCATTTAATGACCTTGTATTTTACCTTTGATCTTAAACATCTATTTCCACTTCTTCCCCTTTTTCTTCATCTTTCCTTTTCCCTTCTAGATCTCCTCTGTGTTATTTCTTACGAACACAGGCCTAATCAACAAACTGTACCTAAGTCTAGCATTTGCATTCTCAAATTCAGAGGTTTAAAAGTTCTATATGAATTTAAATTTTCAACTGGATTAATGTAAATTATAAGGAAACTTGCTATTTAAAAAATACTTGTACTTACATTTTTGTACTATTTTGTACTGTATGGGCTCTTTGGGGGCATGAGTACTGACCAGTCTCTCTCATGGAATCTGTGTTTTCATATATTTGTGTAAGATGAGGTAAACATTCCTCATTTTATTTTTTTAGTTTTTTTAAAGGTTTTTTTTTTGTTTTTTCTTTAAGATTTTATTTATTTATTTGACAGAGAAAGAGAGCAGAAGCAGGGGGAGCAGCAGAGGGAGAGCGAGAAGCAGGCTTCCCGCCGAGCAGGGAGCCCGATGCGGGGCTCAATCCCAGGACCCCGGGACCATGACCTGAGCCAAAAGCAGATGCCCAACTGACTGAGCCACCCAGGCGTTCCAGTAGTCCTCATTTTAATTGCTACAGATTCCTGTTTTTTTCCTGAACTCTAATGACTGATTTTTTATTTATCTTTCCCTACACATCTTTAAAACTTTGCTTCAGACTTCCATTCACTTCCTTTAGGCTTAGTAAGCTTGCCCTCGCTAAACTCACCCCTGCACTCAACCCCCTTAAACCTGATTGTTATTTCACTTTTTTAAATAGGGTGTGTATTGTGCACATATATAGATCAATTTGTGTGTGTCCTTTTTGAAATCTTCCTGAAGCATACAGCTTCTTCATTGTTTGTGCCTTTAAATTGCTGTGGCACTTTTCCCCAGATTTGTGCATACAAAAAAAGTCTCTTTTTGTTGTGCAACCAGTCACAAAGAGGTGCCTACCTCTCTAGATTTGGATTATAATTAAATGTAAGTTAGTAAAGTAACGTCAACCTCAGGGCTAAATCTACAGGTTAACTCTTTTTCTCTAAGAAGTTTAGCACATAGTATCCTCTGACCTATTAATTTTCAACGCCCCCCCCCCAGTGTATTCTTGTTTTGGTGGTAAAGAATAGTTGATACAGTATATACTTTGGTGTCAGATAAGCCTCTGTTCAAATCTTGCTCTTCCTGGATGTGCCCTTGGACAAAATATTCTCTTAAACCTCAACTTTCTCATCTTAAAAAGGAGATCATATTTAATTCATACGATTGTTTGGGAGATTAAAAAGGATATTGAGTATAAAACACAGTTGTGTATTTAGTACCCTTATCCAATTGCTCAATAAATTTAGGATTACAAAATCACCTCTATATGTAGAGACATAACTGCAAGACAGATTTGTAGGCTGCCCAAGACATGAAATCTGGCCTTTGGTTTTCATGTCTTTTCTTCCTGTTCTGCTTTGACATTTTTGTCCCAAAAGCAAACCACCCATTCGTGATTTGTGTGTTCTGAGCTGGTTCATACATATGTTACAGTGTGGTTTGGAATAAAGCAGTAACATTGAGATTTAGACATCAAAGGCTATTAGCATTTCTTTTCACTTTGTTTTTGTAGTTTCTAATCTGCATTGAGCTTCCTGGTCATTTGCCCTCTATAGGCTCTGCTTAGGCAGGGGGCAGAATTGCAATTATGGGCAAACTGGCACCATTACTTATCTAGTGATTCTACTAAGACAATGAAATATGGTGAATAAGTGACTGTGATATGTAGTTGTGATGTTTGTTACAGGTCCAGGTGATCTCCTGACTGATACAGAGCTTATTGCCAAAGTGGATTCTACTGTGTTTTCAAAGGGTGTGCTAACTTTGGTTTGGCTATCTTCTAATTTGGTGTCATTAACCTACAAATCGTGGGCATTGAGGCTGATGGTACCCTGATGAATTTCTATGACTCAAACTGTGGATGCGTAGGCGTATGAGACACTTTTTTAGCCTAACCAACATGGCCTTTTGGCTATTATTTTATAATTCCGCTCACTGATTCTATAGAGTGGTCTGGGGCTTTCTCTTTTTGTTATCTGTGTGTCCAGGAAAGACAGAATCATGAACATTTACATAGCACTGACTATATTGTAAACATACTATATTAACTATTTAATCTTCATGAAACCCTATGAGATACATACTGTCCTCGTCATTTTTGCAGATGAGGAAGCTAAGGCACAGGGAAGTTACATACCTTGCCAAGGGTCATACCACAACTGAGTGGAGGGACGGGTTTGTATTCAGGCAGTCTGGCTCTGGATTACATGTTATATCATACCTAAATTTCAGCAGATAGGGAGATGATCAGTGCATGGTACCCTAAGGACTGCTTTTTCGTGATCTGCTTTTTCATCTCGCACTGTTGTTTCCTGGCCTCATGGAGCCTCTGATGTCACCTAGGAGAGAGGACTGGAATCTTTGGCATTTTGTCCAAGTTAGCCAACTTCTCAGTTCATAAACTGAGATGGCTTGGTAGCCAGCAGATCTGGCTCCATAGTTCTTGGTTGCAGTGAAAAGTACACTAGGCTATGGAACCAGCCTAACCTGAGTTTAAGTCCTGCCATCCATCCAATAAATATCCAGTAAATATCTAGTGAGTTCCTAAATGTCAAACATCAGGCTTTGTACGGGGTGCTCATGATACAGTAAACAAAGCAATTCCTTGTTGTCATGGAATTTAGTCAAGTGAGAGAAGACTGAAAAATATACATCAGGTGGTAAAGCTAAGAAGTATAAGCCAAGGGGATAGAGACTAAGGGGAAGCATCATTTTAGAAAAATGGTTAAGGAAAGTCTGATATGGGGACATTTGAGCAAATAATTAAGTGATGGAGTACGTATGTGGCCTGCTAGGGAAAAGGCCCTGAGGTGAGAGCTCGATCGTTGAAGGAACTGCAAGGAGGCCAATGGGCCAATGTAGTTAAAACGGAGTACAGGAGGTGAAAAGTAGCAGGAAACAAGACGGATGACAGGATGGGGGATGGTGAGGGTAGTAGGGAGAGGGGATGTACCTACCTATATGTGGTAGGGTCTTACAGGTCAAAGAAGAGACAGATACTCGTATTCTGAGTGAGACCGGAAGCCGAGGCTGGGTGTCCTTGACAAATGACACTATAACTTCTGACTTCTGAGTCTTCGTTTATCCCATCTTAAAAATGAGTCGCAAAGTTGTGAAGATCAGAGATCATGTAAGACTATTTTTGATAGGAAACACATCAACCAGTCAATACGTATTACGGTAACTCAATACATTGTATTTTCTTCTCTATACGTTGGGCAGGCTGCAGCATGTCATGCTGCTTAGGACTAAGCTCCCGTGGACGAGCATAAGGGGGATTATGTTCTTTAGGCATGGGAGTGTGGTCCTAGAGAAAGGAAAAGGGGAGTTTTAGAGGCAGATTCGTTTAGTCATTGAAGATCTGTGGCTGAGGCTGTCCCCCTTCCTGTTCAAAGGGCTGCAGCGGCGCCAGACTCGCTTTCCCAGGTTCCACTGTAGCAGAGACCCCGCCTCCAGAGCCCGTCTGCAGACGACTTTCGGCTCTGCGCCGGTCGCCGCCTCCAATTCCCGGCATGCCGCGGGGGTGGTGCTGGCACGTAGACTCCATTTCCCAGCCTGCCCCGGGGCTCGGTCAGGACGTGCCGGCGCCTATAAGAGCCAGAGCGCTGCGGCCGGAGCCTATTGTTAGCCGGAGCCGGGGCGGTTCTGGGCGTCTGCTACCGGGGGCGCCCGAGTTGCTGGAGCCGTCCGCCCTCCGCCGCCTGCCGGCCGACCTGCCCACCCGCCCTCCCTCCCAGCCCTGCCGCCCTGGGAACTCCCCGACCGTCGCCGCGGGCCCGGGACTCGCTATCTCGTCTCTCCTTCCCACCCGGGCTAGGGCGGCGGCGGCGGCGGCAGCGGGGGCGGCAGAGATCATCACGGGAGGAGGCAGCTGCGGCGGGGCCGGTAATGGGCCTGGGGGTGCGGGGCGGAGGGTGCCGCCTCGTCCTTTCTCGGGATCGGCCCTCGGGCGGCTGTGGAGGAGTGGTCAACCCAGAGCAGCGCGGATGGAGGGGTCAGAAATGAGGGAGGCTCGGACGGGAGCGGTCGGGGGGCGGGGAGCCAGGGCGCCGCCGGGAAGGGAAAGAGTCGGGAGAGGCGTGGGAGCTAGGGGCACGGAGGACGCGGGCCCGGACTGCGGGGGCAGCTTGGGGGAGACCGATGGGCGGCTTGGAAGCTGGCAGGATTGCGGATGAGGGTTGAGTTCGGAATGGAGTGGAGATGATGTAGGATGGAGGGAAGTGAGGGAAGGGGAGGGCGGATAGAGGAAAATGTGGGAGGAGTGGTTGGGAATTTGTGAGTAGCAGGCAGGAAGGGATGAGGAAGGCTGGGCAGGGGCTGCAGACGACTGGAATGAGCGGGAAGGTTAGCAGGAATCAGAGACATGGGCCGGGAGCTGGAGGGTTCAGCAGGGGTGTCCATTAAAGGGAACTGATGCCTTCATGTCCTTTCAGCTCAGGTTCCTGATGTCTCCTATTTTTCTGGCGTTGTGGGAGAAAACGAAAGCATCACTTGCCCTGGCCGCTAGCTTGATCATTTTTCACAGGCCCAAACACGCAGCTGCCTGCCATCCATCCCTCTTAGTGCCATGGTCTTGATTTAGCCTTTGAAAGGGGTTAGAGGGGCAGTGTGACACACAAACCGTTCTTCAACATGAAATGTTAGAAGTTCTCCCCAAGAGACACAGTGTCCTCTTGGCCTGCAGTTTTCAGTTAAAGGTAAAGCCATAGTTGATTCAGATTTTCATTTTCTTTTCTGACTTTACATCTTGCTAATCTCCAAAGCCAGGAGGATGTTGGTGTGTGCCAGAGTTATAAATGACTGGATATCCTTGAGAGTTAATGGTTCCTGCAGCATCACGTTCCCGGTCTCCCACAAAGATCTTGTGTCCTCCCTTCCACGGTAGTTCAGACATGGAAAGCCAAATTCGAACCGTGTGTTAGCGAATATGGGTAAAAAAAACAGAAAACGGAGTGAGGGTTAGAGGGCTTCCTTAAAATACCTAGTTTAAACAGTATGTTTGCACTCAAGCACTTTCTAGGTTCGTGATCCCGGTAATCACAAGGACACATGGATACATGAAATTCGTAGTATTTGAGAATCAACTGCAATATCTTGTAAAAGGACAAACAGGTCAGGTCATCTCACTCAGGTTTATCCAGACACTTAGCAGCAAGGCTGCCTTCTTCCTCTAACCCAGCTACAGAAGGTAACCCCGACAGTCTTACCAGAGAGTTTGGTCCCTTGACCTTTAGCAGAAGGCTGGGTTCCAGTGGAGTGAAGAGGCTTTCTCTTGTGAGATAGACCTTGTCTTATTATTTTATACTCAATTAAGAGAGAGGCTTTCATTACCCAAACTTTGCAAATACATTTTGAATCCACAGGGTTTTTTTCTGGGCAGTCCCTCTTTTGCTAGTCTCACATAAGCTGTATTTTTTATTTTGTTTTGTTTTTTTGGGGAGGTTGTAATAGGAATCCTCCAGGCCTGAAAAGGCTTAGATCTAGTACTAAAATCCACATACGCTATAGATCTGTATTCGGTGCTAGCCTCATGTCTTCTGTATACTGTGGGTGTGCCTGATTTCATATACCTTTGGGAAACCTTCCGCTAGAAACACTCGAGAGGAGACCATAAGGCATGTAGCCAGAAAGTGTCAGCTGACCTTTCATTTCACTGGCATTAAAAAGCTTTTATAGGGGTTTGCATTATTTTCTCCAAAAGCATTTGCTGTTTGAGTTGGTCATTTTGACAGTTAACTGTCAGTTACGGGCCTGCATTTCCAGTCTCACCTTCATTATTTCTGTATGGGTTTAAGTGCTTGGAGTATAACTCACAAGTGTTTCTCTTGAACACAGGCATTGATCCTCTGCCAATGAATGGTTGAGAGAGGTGGGAATGACTGATTTCGAGTTGTGGTTTGAAGAGAGGTTGATGTGATGAACTGGAAAGTGTGGGACTTATTCTAGTTGTTTCTGTTGCAAAGAAAGTTCTCTTCAGGCCACTGTGGAAGTGGATGGGAGGTTTGTTGTTGGTGCCCAATGAGTATCTTTTTCTGACAAGTCTAGTTCACACCAGAGTTGGACAAGGAAGGCTGGGTTGAAATTTAAATTTATACTGGTTGTGAGGACAGAATCGATGGATTATATATAGAGAGAGGAATGAATGTCAGAGAAAGTGATGCAGACAGATCCTGAGTAGGGCGAGGAGAGCTCAGTCAGTATGCACATTACTTACCTATATAGCCAATGGGTTCAGATGATTCTCTGGCATTTTAAGGAAAATACCTTTCTCCTAGGTTTCGCATCTTTTCTTTTCCTCTTTCTTTCTCCGCCCCCCCCTTCTTACCTCCCTCTTATCATTGCCCAGAAGCCACTATTCCAGGAGTGGAAGTGGGGAAGACATAGAGAAAAGGGCGAAGGAGAATGGAGCAGCCAGCAATCCTTGCTGCACCAGAAGAAGTGATACCCCTGAGGGCAGCTGGGTTAAGACAGAATTTTAATAATAAAGATGATTTTGGACCAAACCCAACCTCATGCAGGGCTTAAAGAGAAATATTGAAAGGGAAGCCACGCTACTGGAAGCAAAGGGACACTGGAGGAAAGAACAGGACTGCACATTTGCCTCCAGTCATGAAGCCCTGTATGCTTCCAGACTGAGGAAAAAGCCGCTTTCTCAGTAGCAACACTGGACATCTCAGTTAAAACTGAAGCTGGACTTAGGCCCTTTCTGAGAAAGCAGATTTTCAGCTCAGTTTGAGTTTTCATGTGGTTTATAAGGCTTTTTTTAAGTGGGTAGGAAAAATTCAATGCGGTGGTCAACATTATTCTCTCTTTTTTTTATCCCACCCACATAAGTTCTCAATTGTACAGATTACCGACCCCCATCATCGAATGGAATGAGAAATTTGTTAGTTAAGAGGTATCTTTAAACCCAGCTGAAATCTTACCCCATTAAAAGGTCCTTGGCTCTCTCCATTCTTCATATGGCCTAGGAATGTGACCTCTAACGGTAAGATCAGTAACCTGAAGAACGGAATTGACACTTCGGGTTCCTTTTTAAATTTAATTACAATTCTTTTCAAGTACTTGATTTTTTTTTTTCCCCCTCCCTGGCCAAATTTATTTCAGGAATATGCTTGTCTGAGACCTACGATGGCTGAGGTTTCTTAGGTACATCTTGTGACTCGAATGCAGACTCTTGATGAGATCTGGATAGATAGATCAGGAAATATCTTCCCTCAAGTACTTACTAGGTCTGGTTGACTCTGTAGAGCTGACCCAAGAGCAGGCAAATTGCTTCCGAGAGACACAGTCCAGCAAACCAGCTCTGTAGCAGGCATCTCTTGACACCACAGTATATTCTGGGCAGCTGCTGTGCAGTAATGCAGCCCTGTCTTTCTGGGCAGTGTTGTTATTCCTGCTGCATAATTAGCAACTAGTGAGATCATAGTCTGCGGAGATTCTGGCATTACTGAGGCAAAGCAGGGAGGCTTCATATCATCACATGTGGCTCCGCCTCTGACAGCATTTCTGTCAAGCAGATTCATCTTCTTGGGAACTTAAGTCCAAAGGTGGAGAAGGAGAAAGATTTGTCCCTGGGAAATGGACTCTCCCAGACTCTTGTGTGTGCGTGACGTGTTGAAAGCACTGCCTGCCATATTGACGACACCAGTCAACTGTCACTTCTTTTGCTATTTGTTTTCCCCTTGCTGGCTTCTTTACGGAGGGCTAAGATGGTGAATCTAGGTTTTCCTCGCACACGGGTTGATGATAGGTCAGCTGAGCCCTATTTTACGGACCTCTTTGAGATGGGAAAAGATTCTGGGTTTTGAAGGCAGCGCAGAGTCTAATCTTCAGTCCATTCTTTAGAACCACATTTGATCTTTCTAGGAGCGTGGCGAGAAATGTCACCCTTGTGAAGATCTGGATAAATTGTTTCCCTGGCTTCTGATATACTCTGAACCTTAGATCCTAGAGCAGTATTTCCCAAAGTGCGTTCCAAGAATCGCTTGCCCCCCTGAGACACTCTGGAAACAAAGGCTTCATAATCGGGTGTGGGGACCCCTGCGCTAGGTTTGCTCTTGCTCTCACCCTTCGCCATGCTCATTAGCATGTTGAAAGCCTCCAAGCTGTCCTCTCCTAAGCACTTTTCTAAGCTATTTGGACACAGCGGTCCTATTTCCATGTAAAGCTATTAATATCCATGGAACTAGTTGATTTAGTATATACACTTTGGGAAAAGCCAGGCTAAATTTTCACTAGGAAAAATAATTGGATCTAGTGTAGGTTTAGGCACAGCCTAATTCTGCCTGTGGTCCCCAGTCCCTTGTGCGGGCCCCTTGGAGAGCGCTCCTGCGTGAGCACAGGAGAGCTGCCGTTATCCCCGGGCTAATGAAACCCAGAGCCCAGCTGGCTCGGAGCCAGAGGCCTTCACTCTGCTCGGAAAGGTGCCACTGTTAACTCATCTCATTATTCTGCGAGCGACTGAGACTGGAGGGGCTGAAGGGAAGTAAAAGTAGGAGAACGTTGGCCAGAGTAAGTAGAGAAATGACCGAGTCTCGCGAGACCAGACATCAGCGCTAGCTCAGGGACTTTCTTCGTTTGGAGAGCTGTGCGTATAGACTCGGGAGGGGTCTGGCTCAGGACAGGAATGCTGATTCCTCCTTTTCCCCTGGGCAGAATCCTAATGTACCTGGCTAACTGGTGGTGAGCAGGGGCTTTGGGGCCAACGTGGTGGGCTCCCCAAGGAAACCCCTTTGAAACCAATGGATGCATTCACGGGCTCGAGTCTCAAGAGGAAGTTTGATGATGTGGATGTGGGCTCATCAGTTTCCAACTCAGATGATGAGATCTCCAGCAGTGACAGTGCTGACAGCTGTGACAGCCTCAATCCTCCTACAGCTGCCAGCTTCACGCGTGAGTGAGCCCCTCCGCCCCCTGCCTCCGCCCACGTCCTCTGAGTGGCAGAGCCCATTGCTGTCCTCGAGACAGCTTCTCTCCGCCTGGGGGCTTTTCCACTCTAGGCCCAACCTCGCTCTTTGGAGGACTTTATCGCTCTAATAGAGCGATAGACTTAGGTCTGACTTATTCTAGCTGATTTTTCCTATGCTGTGGTTTATAGGTCCCCAGAATGGGCTGAATTAAACTGAAGAAGGAGAAGTCCAGGATTCTTCCCTTACCCACCAGAGTCCCACACAGTTGTAGCTCTGGAAGGACGTAAATGCGGCCTGGACAACTGGGGCAGCTCCGGATTTCTTAATTGTAATGGCTCCATTAATTTCTTGGAAAGAACTTCTGATTCTGTAGATCAGAAGTTGCCTATGGACCAGATCTGGCCCACTGCCCATTTTTGTAAATAAAGTTTTATCGGCACACCGCCACACACACTGTAATTGCTTTCAGGCTTCCGTGGCAGAGTTGAGTAGTTGCAGCAGAGGCCTCATGGCCAGCAGGGCCTGAAGTATTTACTGTCTGGCCCTTTAAAGAGGAAGTACAGCACCCCGGCTATAGATAACACTGTCCAGTAGAATTTTCTGCTATGATAGAAATGTTCTATATCTGCACTGCCCAGTATGGTAGCCATTAGCCATATGTAGCTATGAGCATTTGAAATGCGACTGGTGTAACTGAGGAGCTGAATTTTACATTTTATTTTGAATTATTATTTTAAATTGCCACATGTGGCTAGTAGTTGTCGTATTGGACAGTGAAGCCATATAGATTGTTACCAAGATCACCTAGAGAGCCTCTTCCCAGCTGATGTCTCCAATTAGCTCTTGTGGTCATCCGTCTGGGTGGAATCAGTCCGGAGGCAGTGGTACGGACCAGCCGATGTTCAGGGTCCCTCCCGGCTGTGCGTGGATGATGGGAAGATAGCAGGGTCTCGAGGTACAGAGAGCGCATTGGACAAGAGTCGAGAAAGAACGAGGGCCCCAGGCTGGCCGTTTCGGGGTTGGTAAAACCGCTCTGTGCTCCTTCTCAGCCACATCCATCCTCAAGCGGCAGAAGCAGTTGCGGAGGAAGAATGTACGCTTTGACCAGGTGACCGTGTACTACTTCGCCCGGCGCCAGGGTTTCACCAGTGTGCCCAGCCAGGGTGGGAGCTCGCTGGGCATGGCCCAGCGCCATAACTCCGTACGCAGCTACACGCTCTGTGAGTTTGCTCAAGAGCAGGAGGTGAACCATCGGGAGATTCTTCGTGAGCACCTGAAGGAGGAGAAACTCCATGCCAAGAAGATGAAGGTGCCTAAGGGGTCTGGGGTCTGGGTACTTAACTCTGTGCCAAGATAAAGTGGGAACCCGTCCTGGGCTCCTGATGATTTATTTATTGTTTTTGACTGCTGTCCTTGGCATGTAGAGATTCCAGCGAGAAGTGAGAAGCCTCAGGTTTGGAATCACATCTCAGTCTGAGACACCATTCTTTTTGTCTCTGGTGGGGAGTCTACACAAGAGAGCCAAATGGCTTCCCTAGAATTCCCTACCCTCGCCACCTCAGCAAATTTTTTAAAAGTTTAAGGTGCGAATACCTGAAGACATTCAAGTCCGCCACCCTTGGAACCTGAGGAGGCACACTGTTTCAGTTTCTTGTCACGTGACTGTCTATTGTCCCCGTGCACAGAACAGGTTTTCTCCGATAGACCCCTCTGTTTCCGTAACCCCCCGTCACCTCTAGGTGGTGGTCTTTTGGGTGTAAACAGCAGCATTACCAAATAGCTCTTTCGGTTTGGGTGGTACTGGGCCCGCCATCTGATGCCACACCAGCTCTTCCAAGTTTAGGAGGAGAGTGGGGCTGCAAGACGACCCATCTCTACCAGGATGGCTCTTTACGGCTACCCGTTTGCTCTCGGCACTGCTTGGCATGCCACAACCATACTTTCTACCAGGCCGCAGAAATCCCCCCCCACCCCCCTGAGTTCCTAGTTCCGGATTTGGAGAACACTGCTTTCGGCCTGGCCAAGTTTCTTGTGGGCCCAAAGCTGCATTATTTCCAGGGTTGTGGGTGAAATCCTAACGGGCCACACCAAAATGTGCTGTGGCTGGAGAACTGAGGGCAGAGGATGTGGACTAACGGCATCTCACTCCTTTCTCCGTCTGACAGCTATGTCTCCTTCCCGCAGCCTAGCCCCAGAGCCTTCCACCTGTTTTTCTAACTGGAATGACATTGAGGCGTCCCTTTCTTGTGTCTGAGGAATTCCGTCACTGACCCTATCACCTTCCTGCTGCTATAGCAACAGCAGGGGAAATAAACACTGTTCTCATCATTTACAGTGAAGGCTTCTCGTCCTTCGCCTAGAAGAAATCTCTTTCCTAGATCTGGTAGAGGGATAAACCTGTCAAAGCACGATTCCATCCTGTTCTGTGGCCTCCCTTGTCAGAGGTCTAGGGACAGCTAGGCAGCCTGAAGGCTGACATAGGACTCCCACTTAGTAGCCGATTTAGTGAACAGCGGCATTAGTAACAACTAATACATCTTTCTGTGTCAAGAGAAAACCCTTACTTTGCCCTCCCCGGGTCCAGTTTTCTCTTTTCTTAGAAATGTTTCCTATCTTTAGTACTCTACAGGGGAGGCTGTTGATCTAAGAAATACATCTTTCGCATCTCCCATGTGCCATCTAATACTTATTTTCCTTTTTAGGCTGCCCCCCCCAACCCTCCCCAGAAAAGCTCCTGGTGCTCTGTAGCTTTAATGACCTATACTTTTTCTAATACTTTCCTTATTTTTTTTTTAAATTTTGGCCTTTTATTCACACGGAATTCATTATTATGGGTAGTATGACTTGGGAATCTAACTTTACTGATTTATTTTTCAGAAGAATATCCAGTTATCCCAGTATCATTTAATGACCAGAGGACTCTTTTTCTCACTTGATTTGAAATGCCACCTCTATCATGTTATACGAAACTCTTATATCTATGTGGGTTTCTTCCTATTGCATCTCTGATCTCTTTCCCTTGAGAGGACAGCAGGAGGGAGGGTGCTTAGGAGGGGGCCATCCCCGGCAAAACAGGCAGGAGCAGTCCCAAGGTCGGCAGAAGGGCCCCTCATCATGAGTCCGCCTGGTACATAAATAACAGACCAGGAAACGCCCAGAAGCACCACCGTATTTGTCCCCTCTCTCTCCCACCTTCCCACAAACAAACAAAACAGGTGTGGAGCTGATTAGCCTGAATCTGTTGCATCATCTGTCTCCTAGGAGTTGTTCCTTTACTAGCACTAATCTGTGGCTGGGTCTGATGAAATAAACCAGCCCCTCCAGGAGCTTAGCTTTCATCCTCCTAGTAGTTTCCAGAGCTCTGGGAATCACGAAGTCTCATTTTCTTTCCTTGGATTCTCCAGTGAGTTTTCAAACTCATTCAGCCAGATTGTCTCCAACCTGTCCTTCCACGAAGACTCCTTTTCCTGGTTCTCTGTCCTTCTTAGCCCAGAGAACCCAGATTTCTGCCCATAGATAGTACCTCAGTATTATATATGCCACCCAACTTCACAGACAGCTTTTCTTTGAAATCAAAGAAAAAGAATTAGAAAGGAGAACGAATATATTCTAGGCTGTGGGTTGGAAGTGAGGGCTCTCTTTGATAGCCGTTAAAAAATTTGGTCATTTTCTTCTCCTCCCAGTGAAATGAAGCTCTTCTTGTGTATGCAGATAATTCTTCACACTGTGGGGATTCAGGTTCATTGACAAAGACCTGGTAGCCTTGTACTACACTTTAGTGTACTCTTCTTCCCAGAATGTGGTTTGGGGTCCTTTGGGGTACAGAATGAAGGGTGTTTTGCAAGTTTATCTGTACATCCAAGGAACGTGCAGCCATTGATAGACCTCCTCCTCCCTGTGTTAGAAGGCAAGTTAGCTGAAGTTACGGGACACAGGTCTGGGGATGGAGGGTATGTCTGTCTTCTAGGAGGGAAGATGACACACGGGCTTCGAGAAACTTTGATCTGGAAGGTGATAGCCCCTGTGTTGACAGGGAGGTGTTAGAGCTACATAAGCCTTCCTGCCTTCCTGCTCTAGATTTATTCTCTTCAACTATCCAGTGTGGGAGTGACTAGCCACATGTGGCTACTTATACTTCATTAAAACAAAATAAAACTAAAAAGGTCCCCTTCTGCTCTGCACTAGCCACATGTACAGTGCTCATCAGCCACGTGTGCTACGAACAGCGTGGATCTTGCCCTCATCGCAGAAAGTTCAGCTGGGCTCTGCTGCTCTAGGTGCCGTGTCAGGAGGTGCATGCTGAGAATACTCGAGGCTAACCTCTCCTTCCTGTCTCCTGGCAGCTGACCAAGAATGGGACAGTGGAGTCGGTGGAGGCCGATGGCCTGACCCTGGATGATGTTTCAGATGAAGATATTGATGTGGAAAACGTGGAGGTGGATGATTACTTCTTCCTGCAGCCCCTGCCCACCAAACGGCGACGAGCCTTGCTGAGGGCTTCGGGGGTCCACCGCATTGATGCTGAAGAGAAGCAAGAACTTCGAGCCATCCGCCTGTCACGGGAAGAGTGTGGTTGTGACTGTCGCCTGTATTGTGACCCAGAAGCATGTGCCTGTAGTCAGGCTGGCATTAAATGCCAGGTCAGTCCAAGTTGGCCTGAGATGGTAGATCTACTCTAGAGGCCGGGGGATGTGATGTGGGTACCAGGGAACACGGGAGACTGCCCATCATCCGTTGGGTGCATTCCCCATGACTGGGAACACTCCCTGGTTCCCCTGCCCTCCTCCACCAAGGAAAAACACAAAGCATGGCAGGATTCCTAGGCTGGGGATGTAGGAATTATCTTTCCTGTGTTTCTCACCTTAGAAGTGATAAGAAGCAGCTGTCAGCAAATGGGAGAACATGGGTTAATAAGTTTAACATTAGTAGCTGTTCCTTGAATATTGACTGATTTTATGAGCTAAAAGGAAGCAGAGAGATGAGGTGAGGCCGTTAGATTTTATCTTGCACTCACAGGACCTCTACTTCAGTTCTGTAACTCAAAATAATTCTCGGCTTCTTATAATTCAGGATCGGACTTGGCCTGGCAGAGCTTTAAGTCCACTGTCTTGAAAGATGGAAGACATCATCCCCTAACCTGACAAGGGACAGTTTAGCAGGCATATCTCCACTGAAAACAGCAGTACCATCCCAAAGGATGAAATTTATTTGGAACTTGTATACTGAGGATGTGGGTGCTGAGTCTTTGTGGTTGAATGTATCCTAATGAACCTTTTCTTTCTTATTTTTAGGTAGGTAATAGCTGTAGCGGATCTGGCCAAATACTGCTTTTCAGACTGAAGTCCCATAATGAATCAGTCTGTTATACAGTCCTGAGAATAGTCCTAAGAATTGGACTGCTCCTAAGAACTGGAATGGAGAGTTCTAGAAGTTGTTACCATAGGAAGACATTGTGTATTTGTATATACATATTTGCCTATATTTTTTATTTTTGGCATATGTGGCCTTCTTTCCTTTTTGGGGTCCAAAAGGGAGATACGGAGGCAGAGAGAATTTCCTTCCTAGATGTTCCTGGTCTGTAAGTTAGTTATCTTAGTAACTGCTCCAGACCTAAACTGGTCAACCGTCAGGGGAAAATGAAGCAGGTGGTGAAAAGCTGGCCATGATTAATCGCACCCTAGCAAAACTAAGGCACTGTCACTTAGTTTCCCTAGGATATATTGCTTTGGACCAGCTAGATCTTCTACTTCCTTTCCCTGTCATTGTAGAAGGCAGTAGGCTTGGGCCTCAGCCTTTGTTTTCTCAATAAACTAGGTAAGTTCTGGAAAAGTCTCTGAGGCACAAAAATTTCTTCTACTCTGACAACTGTCAGCATTCAGAGAGGTATCGCTGGACTTTTTAACTGGAAAGGCCCTTTAACATGATTTTTGGCTACATTTTATTTGGAAGAGGACACAAAGCCCTGGAGAGAGAAAGGACCTTCTTTTTTTTTTTAAGATTTTATTTGAGAGAAAGAGAACACAAGCAGGGGGAGGGGCAGCAGGGGAGGGAGAGGGACAAGAAGACTCTGCGCTGAGTGCAGAGCCTGCTGCAGGGCTCGATTCCACAACCCTGAGACCATGGCCTGAGCCTAAACCAAGAGTCGGATGCTTACGTGACTGCACTGCCCAGGGGCCCCTGAGATAGAGGCCCTTCCTGAGGGCACACTGCTACTCAGCGGCTGTGCTGGAACCGAAATGCAGGCGGTCTGATAACTGCCACCTAGCGCTCTGTTAGGTCGCACTGTTCGTTCCATTTGTTCCCGGTTGTTCCTCTTTGAAGAAGACCTCAAATCCCAGCCGCCCGTGTTTGCCAGCTCCTGTCTCCTAGCCCCGTCCTGAAATCTGGTGCTCTCATCTTCCCTCAACCTTCTTGTCCTCTCCTCAGGTGGATCGCATGTCCTTCCCATGCGGCTGTTCACGGGATGGCTGTGGGAACATGGCTGGGCGCATTGAGTTTAATCCGATCCGGGTCCGGACTCATTACCTCCACACCATCATGAAGCTGGAGCTGGAGAGCAAGCGGCAGGTGAGCCGCCCACCGGCCCCAGACGAGGAGCCCTCCCCCACGGCCAGCTGCAGCCTGACGGGAGCACAGGGCTCGGAGACACAGGACTTCCAGGAGTTCCTCGCTGAGAACGAGACGGCAGTGATGCACCTGCAGAGCGCGGAGGAACTGGAGCGGCTCAAGGCAGAGGAAGATTCCAGTGGCTCTAGCGCCAGCCTGGACTCCAGCATAGAGAGCCTGGGCGTGTGCATCCTGGAGGAGCCCTTGGCTGTTCCCGAAGAGCTGTGCCCCGGCCTGACCGCCCCCATTCTCATCCAGGCCCAGCTGCCCCCTGGCTCCTCGGTCCTGTGTTTTGCCGAGAACTCGGACCACCCCACCGCCTCAGCAGTGAACAGCCCGTCCTACTTGAACAGCGGGCCCCTGGTCTATTACCAGGTGGAGCAGAGGCCCGTGCTGGGGGTGAAAGGAGAGCCCAGCACCGAAGAAGTCCCACCCTCTTTCCCCAAGGAGAAGGATCTGAATGTCTTCTCTCTCCCTGTTACCTCACTGGTGGCTTGTAGCCCCACAGACCCAGCTGCCCTGTGTAAATCGGAAGTGGGGAAAACGTCCACTCTAGAAGCGCTAGTGCCGGAAGCTTGTAGCCCTGAGGAGCCTGAGAATGAAGACTTCCGCCCCTCGTGGTCCCCCTCGAGCCTCCCCTTCCGCACGGACAACGAAGAGGGCTGTGTGGTAGAGAAAGGCTCACAGCAGAGTGAGGACAGGCCCCCTGAAGATTCTTCCCTAGAACTCCCTCTGGCAGTGTGACGCGGGGACGGAGACTCTGCCTCTTACCCAGTCTCTATTTATTCCCTTATTTTATCTAACACCATTTCAAAACAAAACTGTAGAAGCAGCTGCTACCCCCATGTTATTTTATCGGGGTCTTGGGGGGGATGGGTGGGAAAGAATTGTTTGTAAAAGTATTTTTTAAAGGGTAAACGGAACCAAGGAGACCAGTCCCCGCTTGATCTGGGGAGAGTCTTGGGGCAGAGGCTGCGCAGTGCTGAATACTGGGCTTTCTAGGCCACTGGAACAAAGAATGAGGATCTCACAGGAAAAGCTGGGTAATTCAAGCAGCTATTCTTTATGTAGGGACCAGAACACAGTAATTTGAACAGCATGGCAAAGCCCCTTCTCCTTTCCTGAGCTCCAGGTGGGGTACGAGGTCATTTTCTCATCAGTCACCCTGATATCCCACTTTGGTGTATCATCATCAGCTGGAATATCATCTGGTCACATCCAGAGGGGAGTGGGTAGAAGGGTCTCTGCTTCTGTAGAAAACCTCCAGGATTGATAAAAACTTAACCTGCCTTCCCTGGCCCCCCGCTATTTGGTAAATAAGTTAATATTTGACATGTTTAGTGTTCTCTGACCTGTTCCCCACACTGGGGATTCCTGGTCTGTAACTTGAATTATTTCTTTAACATGTTCTTAGGTACTAGGGTTAGACTTGTCTATTTATCTTTTTTCCCCCGCTCCTTCCTTTTCCCTGGAAGAAAAAGCTAGATTGGCTGGGGATGTGGCCTAAAGAGCCAGGGTCTTCTGTCTGTGTCTAACGCTGGCTCTGTCAGGCGGCTTTAGGCTGTGGGAGGCGTACATGGAGCAGTAACTGTCCAAAAGAGGCAGCAGGGACAGGCTGCTGTCTGGAAAGAAGACTTTATTTGCACCACGCTTGCTTTTTCACCCAGGTTTTTCTCCCACTCTGGGAGGTTTGAGCTTTAAAGGAACATAGGATGTGGTAATCTAAAGTCACTGACTAGTTTTTGTTCTTTTTTTCTGTATCTACCCTCGTGGTCCTTGGATATACAGGGTTGGAGAGTTCTTATACTGTTCCTGTCCACACAGGTTTCCCCCCGGCCCCAAGAACTGCAAACGTTAATTGGATCCCTCCATCTTGATATGTAAAAATTGGAAGCCAAACTAATTCTTAAATGCAGCTCCCAGGTTCCAAAGAATTCAAGTTCCGAATATAACCTTTGAGATCTATAAAGTGGGACTCAAATTCAGTTCTTACCTCTATGGGGGGGACATGGTTCCTGCTCCTCTTATGTCCAGCTCACGTTCCAGGATGTGCTCCACTGAACACCATGGAATTCTTTTTATTAACAGTTCTCTCTGCCTCCCTTTGGAGGCAGGAGGGAGTAAAACACTCTTCTCTAGCACCCTTTACATCATGCTTCACTTCTGGTATGGTTTATTAATCAGCAAAGAACAAGTGAAAACCTTTTTTGGTTTTGGTGGGGGAGAGAACTCTTTCCACTTACCTTGCTCACCAAGCCTTTTCTCGGGGGTCGTTAAAGCACCCTTTATGTAGGTCCCGGCAGCAGCTCACCTATCATATCTCTCACCTGAGCCTGCGAGGCTTTGTACTTCAACAGATACAAATTTTAACCCAGTCTGCCTCTCCTGTTCATTCCGGTTTTGCTTGGTTTTACATTTGGAGGGGAGTTCTTAAGTACAGGACCTTGCCCCCCCCCCCAATCCTCTAGCCTCACAAAACAGACAGTCTTAAGTACCTGAGATCTTGACACTCTCCCAAGCTGAACACACCACTCTCCCACCTTCGGCCGCCCCCTTGAATACGAGACTGAAGCTTCACTGCAAAGGCAAAGTCGACTCTGGAGAAGAACCTTCCTGAAAGTTTGTGTTGGAAGGGGAGGGTGGGCTCTATACATTCCCTCCTTAGGAAGGCTCCAGCCTCACCTAGGAGGTGGATTCCAGCTGCTCAATAAGAGACACTTTAGCCTTTGGGATCAAACCAAGAATCTGAATCTAATTGTCAAAATGACTGCCAACCCCCAAGATAATTTGGTTTTTCTGAAAAACTAGTTTCTTCACTTGATCTTAGCCAAAAGGCCAAGAAGCGATATCTGAAAAACCAGTTTCTTAATCCAAGTCCATCCGTCCACTAACTCAACAATTCTGACTCCTGCTGATCCCAAGTTTTTTAATGCTGAATATTAACATTAAGCATTAATCGTCTTGTCAAGCAAACAGCCTTTTCTACAACCTAGTCCATCTCGTTTCTGGTGCTACCTGAGCTGGACAGAATTCTGGCTCATGGTTGCTAGAAAAGCTAAGCCTAGGCCTCCTGTGATCAGGAGCAGATGGCTTCGGTCCCGGCTCAGTCTAGGCCTAGATAAAAGAAATCTCTTATTATTGCAACTCATTATTTTCCAGTTTCCTTTTTCATATACTGTATACAGGTAGTATTTTCAATGTGAATCCAAAGCTTGTCTGGTTCTCTGAAAGGAATTTTTTTTTTTTTTTTGCCTTTTAGGTCCTTTACATTGTGATAATGCTGTATTTAAAGAGACTATTTAAATGTAATATTAAAGAAATACTCAAAAGAACGGTGTGTTATTCTTTATCTTGGCAGGCTTGTTACTTGTTAGAGAAAGGGTGTTTCTCTAGCGTCATATATAAAACTAGGTCAGTTAGAGATTAATGTTAACATTATGGTGGAAAAACAACATTCTCTTTGGAGCATCAAGAGCTTGACTTGCATCATATGCCCTTATGCACCTCTTCAGCTGAAGCAGGCCTTGATCCTGCCCTGTTGGAGCTTTTCCCTTTCTGTAGTCACTACTCTGGGGGCTCATTTGTTAATTCCAAATTCTCTATTCCTTGTTACCATCTTAAAAGTCCAGCAAAGAGGATCAACGTCAAATCAGATCCCTCAGAACTTCCATCCCATCAGAAGCTTCTATTCCAACCACCTACCTCCCCCATTAGTTAGATTTGTCAGTCTTGTCAAAGGAGCTTTAGCAAAATAATTAATAAGAGTATGCATAAGTCATTTCCAGCAACTGGTTTCAGGCAGTCTTTACTTGGCTTTAAAACAGTGCTTCATGCATTTACAGTAAGTTACTACAGGTCAATGATGTACACAGACAAAAGCTAAACCCAACTTACTCACACTGCAGGCCTCTCTGGTGTCCCAGGCGGGGCAATGATTAGTACCTTAGAAGTTTAATCCGTGGCCCAGAGAAGGTGGCCACTGTCCTGTTACAGCTGGACTGCTGCAGCACAGTGGAGGTAGCAGAGTTGAGGCTCCTTAGGGGCTGCACCACAGCGCAGAAATTAAGATGGGGGGGGTGAAGGCTATAAACACGGGAAGGGGCAAGAAGCACTTGTGTTTCCTTTTATCTTTTCCATTAGAAAGTTCCCATATATGAATAACTATTTGCTTAAAAAAAAGATGGTCAAGGATTTGGAAAGGAAAGGGAGTGGTTAGCCCAGTGAGGGGACCAAAAAAAAAAAACCCAAAAAACACCTGTTTTTGGTCATCACAAAAAGGATTGAGGGCAGCATCGACGTACGCGCATAGATGTAAATGCTCCAATTTCAACAGTGCCGTTGCCCTCACCAGCCGGACACTGTGACAAAAACGCAGCTCTAAAGACTACAGCAGCGGGTGAGCCCTGGGCCAGACGAGGCTTTCCACCTGTGGCACAAGCTCACTTCCTAGGCTCTGAGCTGGAACCATCACAATGGAGGCCCAGTACAGAGGCCGCCGGCCGCCCCGGCTGGTTCTGAGGAAGCCAGGTCGCCGGCTCACGCGGGCCACCTCTGGTAAGAGGGCTTGTTTCAGTCCCAGCTGCAGCACAGCGGCTGCGCTGGGAAGCCCGTTAGCACCTGTCCCCTGCCTCAGGCGCACCTACCAGCGCACGCAGAGCCCCGGCCGACCGGTGCGGGTAGGTGCCACGCTGCCGCACTCTGTGGCTGCAGGACAATGCCATCCGCCCCGCGTTCATTCAGCGCCTTGTCCCGGTGTAGTTGACGGAAAGCAGGACCACGTTGTGTAGCAAGAGGGACAGCTCAGCTTCTGTAAACACCAGCAGCGTTAATGGCCTGGCCAGGGAACAACAGTTAGCCTGCTAACTGCCTTGGTCGATGGGGCTTTGATACTAGAGGCGGGAAGCCAAGTGCAGAGGTGTGACGTCAAGAGGTTACTGTTCTCAAAGGCCCCTGCTTCGTTCCAGCCCCTGCATGGATGCTTTCCTTTCCTTCCACCAGATACTCCTTTCCACTCATCCTCGTTTCTTGACTCTTAAGGGGTGGCGGTAGAAAATTCAGAGATGGTAATGATACTAATCACCCCTGGGATTCTTCTGGTACAAGCTGGTGCTCTGGAAACATTTCTTGGCTCCAAGGAGACTAGTAGGCCTACCCTGATATTCACAGGCTTAGAAAACATCAAGGCCTAGCCAAAGGTTCCAACAAGAGATCTACAGGCCTAATACCCACCCTCGGGTCTTTTTATTTAGCCAATTGAGTGTTTTTGTTCTGAATTTGAATGCCTTTCGCCTAGCGCTTCTCAACTGGGATAATTCTGTTCTCCTCTGCCCCACTGGACATCTGGCAGTATTTGGAGACATCTTTGGTTGTCAGAACTGGCGTGGAGGATGCTGCTGGCATCTAGTGGGTAGAGACCAGGGATACTGCTAGAGATCCTCTCAAATGCACAGGACATTGGCATCAATAGTGCTGGGGCTGAGAAACTGCTTCAACTGGCATGCATGCTGTTTTGGGCTCCCACAATCCTCACTACTCCCTCTTGTCTTGCAGAGTCCACTTCATTACCTGCTTAGCCCCTGTAGGCAAATGAGTTTATGCCCTTTCAATTAGATATATATATTAAATAGGGGTCTCATGGTACTCAATAATCAACTCCAAAATAATCTTAGAATCAAACAGAAAAATACTTTGGATTTTAGTGGCATAACCACAGGGATGTGTCTTACCTTTCAGGCTGCAGGAAATCTGCAGCCACTCTCCCAGCCAAGTTCGACACCTCTCTTCAGCAATATGGGTAGAATTCAGGCCACGAAGGTAACAAGCCTGTATCACTCAGAAGAGGAACAGTCCTCAATAATCACATAGCAAATATCCCCAGGAACTGTAAGCCCACAAAAAATTCAAAATCTCCTTTAAATAAGTTATAACTCCATACCCACAAGAAACCTTTCTCTATAGCAATCTGAACTACGACAGACAAGCCAGGAGGCCTATATAATCAAAAACAGTAGGTCTAAAGAATAGCGTCCTCGGTTTTTGAAGGGCCAAAAGAAAAGAAACATAAACCAAAATTACTATGGGCAATTCCTTTTCCATGAGTTAAGTTCACTGAGAAATAAGACACAGAAACGAGGTGAAAGAATAAAGAGTTTGGGCTTTGTTCTAACAAGCAAAACAGGGAGCTCTCTGTAAGCTCCTAGCCCCGTGAGCTCAAAAGCCACCAAGGACTGAGGGTTGATATCGCAGTAAGTTCTTACCGATTTCACCTCCTGAGGAGACAGCTGGCCAATCCCCAGCTTTGCCAAAGCTTTGTCCAGTTGGTGAATTACAGTGGTATGAGTCCTTAAACGGCGTCTCAACAAGAAAGAAGGCAGATAAGGCGTGAGAAGCATGGCTCGGCTCAAGGCTTTCTGTAACACAA